TTTTACACGCGTTGTATACGTCGCTGTGAGTCCCAAATTGAACAGGACGCGACACTACCACTGCCGCCCTTTAATGTGGTACTCTGAAATCGTTTCTAAAATTATGAGGTATTATAGACTAGTATGTGAAATATTTCATTACTCTCGCTTTCTTTGCCCAGGGACACAGAGACTTGCCCACGTAAATTCCTCGCGACAAAACGTAAAATGAAATACACCAGCTGAGCATGCGCGGAGCAGCATTGAAATTCCATTTTTATAGTTTTTATATAAAGTAGAAAATTTAGAAAAGTATTTTCTACTATTAAATTCCGCACTATGATATCATCCATAAATATTTATCGTGAAACATTTGATAGTCTGAATTACGTAACAAACCTTTAGGTTTTACTGCTTTTCAGCGAGTCCGAACGTTGGCGTTCATTTTGGCTTCTCGTTTGATTGTTAACGCATTTTGAACCGAATTCAAATTTCGGACTACTGCGTAGTGTTACTGCGCATACATTGGCGGGGAACTCGCTATTGGGCCACAAATCAAGCATAGTTCAAATATTTTGATAGAAAAAGGTTCAATTAAAACCAGAAACTCACTAAAATAAATTCAATGTCTTAAATGTTTTAACAATATTTAAATTTATAATAATAATATATTTTTCATGGAACCGACGAAAATTTCGAGATATGAAGAGATAATTTCAATGTAAAAATAAAAATTTTTAGAATCCTCAAACATCGCATTTCGAGTATATACGCTCAATTTATATTTCACATAACAGCACAGTTCCAAGACCGCCCTATGGACCTTCAATAATGATATCGGAGTGCAACACACGCCACTTATTAGCGTATAAGGCAGATCATAGAGCTGTATGGTAAACACTTTGGATACTCCAACACCACGCCCTCGTATTTATTTTCCATTATTAGTTATTATTATAGATAAGTATGTTCCATATAATTGACTAGTTATTAAAATATTTGTATTAACTTTGAAACTGTATTTTATTCATTTGTATTAGATTGCGTAACTAGGCAGTTATTTGGTATTGTCACCCCATGGCGTTTTGCACTACTACCCTCTGTGTTAACTTTAGGAGGAATTTCACTGTTGATTGGTCATTGACGTTGCGATGTACAGACAAATTAATCACTAGAAAATCGCGTTGTATTCAATTTAGCGAAAAAAGGCCTGAGAATAAATTTGGGTTGACCTCGTTCCCACGTAACTCCGGGCTTTTTCTCGATCATGATAAATTTACGCTGAACTTAGATCCCATCAATCAATAATCTTCAAAACGCTTCAAACTAATCGTTTGGTACCGAACATTTAAACTGCAAGACATTTTTTTATTATTATCACAATGGTTCAAAGGTCACCAGACCGTTGTGTAATCGTATTCCGTTCTTTGAAATTTATAAAATATGTTATAGTATATAATAATATATAAACATTTTAATATCTGTAAAACGTTCATGGTTTTCTGAAATTCAACGCTTTGTAGTTTAGAGTTCATTATTATTTTAAAGCGCGTCACAGCGATACGGGTCCCATGTGATGGTAGGTTTTCATTTCATGGTTGGTCCATGCGTGTACGAAATTTTCGCGCATCCCCCAGTCAGTTATCACCCCCATTTTTGAATAACCACACCTCAATATTTCTTTCCACGGCTCACAAGCTGCGAGTATGAAGAGCGCCTTCAAATACTTTTGTTTTTATGATCGCAAAATTGATGTACGCCACCACACAAAAGCATTATTTTCTCTCTCTTCTTGGTTCGGCGGTGTGTATTCCATACCATCGAGCCCAATTTCCATATAATGTACATAAAAACAAAGGCGACGATTTCATGGTTGGTCCATGCGTGTATGACAGCCAGTCAGCACTTCCATTTTTGAATAACCACACCTCATTATTTCTTTCCACGGCGCTTCGTGATATTTTTGAAGAAAAGTATTAAAAACTCGGAAGAGGCTTTGAGAAATGTTATCCGATAATGAAGTAACTGACGCCCCAATATTGTGTAATGTAATATTTTCGCTGGACTTTACTTTTCAAATGTTCCAGCATAACTGAGTTGGTTTTGTCCACCAGAGTTTCGCAATATTTCTTCCTAACGAGCTGCGATTATGAAGAGCGCCCTCAAATACTTTTGTTTTTATGGTTTGATGGGGCGGTGTGTATTCGAGCACTGTGATTCGAGGGACATGCAGAGGAAAAACTTTCTGTGAACATTTTATAGCGAATGTCGCAAATTTCATGAAAATATTACCAGTAGGGATGTTTTTACCGGGGAATTGGGGGCAGGACATCCTTTTCATGGAGGCACCTGACATTTTTGCCTCGTGTTGCAGCCATGGTAATATCAGTTATGTATGGAAGGCCCAGTTTTTAATAAAATATTACTTTGTTTTATTTCTATATTGACCCATACAAAAGGTATTATGTAACAAATGTATGATGCTACAACACTCAACCTGCAATGGGGGTGGCAGGATATCTACCTAAAACTCGCAGTATTACTTTGTTAAAGTACAGCAACTGTAGCACCAACAGCCTGCTTGTACTGTGTTCTAGTAAACTTTCTTGGTCCTACAAACATTGAACATTTACTAGAAACTCAGACCACTAACTACCATTAGCATACTTTAACAATCAGTAAACCCACGATTTCTAATGTTTCCGTCTAATAGAGCAAATATAGTGCATAGTAACATCTAGATTTGCAAAAATCGAGACTTTTTTTTATTTAAAAAAAAAATTGTCAGTTAAGCCTTTTTAGCGTTATCGCAAAAACTAACGTGACCACGGAAAAAAAATGGATTCCTTTCACTGTCACGTTAGTTTTTGCGATCACGCTAAAAGGACTGAAAACAATTATTTCTTTTTATAAAACAAAAAAGACCAGACTTTGCCAGCCTAAGAAACAGCTTGTAACAGGAATACAGATTCCATGCATAGTGCAAGTAACACACAAATCAGTATTCAGGCTTTTTTTATTCAAAGATCATGAAGACAATTACACCCAATAAAAGTCTGTATAGATATGGAACAACCCGTCAGGCTGCATCAATTAGCCAATCAAAGCATGATTAAGACCAAGTCCAACCAACTGCTACAAACACCGCCGTGTAAAACCTTACAATTGCGTTATTTGAAACAAATGATTAGAAATGTCAAAACAAATTTTTTCACAAACCCGAAAAGTTTCCATATCATTGAATACATATTACTGATTTTATACACCAATTATAAATAAGCTTATGAAAAATGATAACACACACATCAGCCATACAAAAAAAAAAAAAAACCCTGAAAACATGAAGAACATAAACTGGTTACACTATGCAAATTTAATTTGAAATTTACAAATGATTGGCATACTAATTTAATATCTTTGATTGTGGAAAAAAAAAATTGTCTGCAAAAATAACATGCTGAGAAGCTTTTTATTCAATATACAATTATGTTTGGTTTTTCATACAACATTCGCTTCCTGGCTGAGAACATTCACCCTAACCATATTTTCAATATGACCACCCCCCAGAGTCTTGTATTCTGGAACTGGTATGAACTGGTATGAACTGGTATGAGAAACAACTAAAATTTGACTCCTGCCAAATTAAAATTTACATACCCAATTATGCAAATCACTGCACTTAGTGCAGAATGTATTCATTTTGTTAATCTCGGGATCAAAAAAGAAAAAGAAATTTTGTCTTCAATATACGTGTTCTGTGTATACCGCAAATTCTAAAGCAAAACAAGTTACTGACCGACATCAAAGCAGTTTTAAATATGAAATAGAATAGATTTTACAAATAGACGCAGAAGATGGTTTGAATTCAGAACCCGTGTTTCAGCAGTTTTTATAAAATATACAAAAAAAATTACAACAGATTGAAACACCGGCTATTTTGCTTCTTAAGGTTAATAAATAATTAGTACCTATATGTGTTGACTGATACAAATATCGGCCTGCAGTGGCCTAATTTTAATCAACTAGTCAGTTAACTATTATACAAGACCAACTGAACGTTTTCTCGTAAATCTCAGCCCATTGCCAATTTTTCATTAGAATAGTTTAAGCAGTTTTCATATCCTAGTATGAACAAATACTAAATCATAGACGCTGATTTTGGGAAAACTAAAAATACCGACAGTCAAAGTTTATAATATCGGAAATAAAAAAAAATAAAAAAATAAAATAAAGAAAGTGGTTGGAAGAAAGCCGTTTTTTTGTTACAAATTAATCAATTAAATATTGGGCAGTTTATATAAAAAGACAATACATAATTGCAGTACTAAGCTCTTTTTCTTTCATCCAGCTATATATCAAAAAAAAAATCATGACTTGTTGGCTAGAAATATACATCTCAAGTGCAGTTAATAAATAGACTTACATGTAATGAAAAAAAACACAGAAAAACACTGGACATAGAATGAAATGAAGAGGTTAAAAAGAACAACCCAAGTTATTGTGGATATGGAGCAACCCAATTAATTCTTAAACCAGGCTTTCCCTGAAATTATGAAAAATCATAGAATATTGAAAAGAGGAGGATACAAACATAGACAAAAGAAAAATCTGCGAGTGATAAAATAAATAAATAGAAAAAAAAAATGTTATGTGACACATGCACATTCCAAAGAACGTGGCAATACAAAGAGGACCTCATGCTCGGCCGTATCATGAAAAGTAATATTCATTTATTCTGAGACTTCCATGTTTCTCACAAATGAAAATTACAGCATGACTGATCCTATACATACACCACATGGTATTTTTCAACAGAATTGATGTTTGTGTATTAACAGTAAATGGCAGTACCAAACAAAAAATTGAAGATAAAATTAATCCGACCGAGTAGGTTTTATTTATAGTCAAACGAACGAACGGATCAATTTTATATCTCGTAAGATGAGAAATATCCAAATTATCATGTGGTTGGATCCCAACGTCATCATACAGGGGGGGACAAATGTACTTAACATCTGTAAGTTAGAAGATAACTGTTAAAGATGGGTGGAGATAACCTTCCTATGATAGAAAGAAAAAAATAGTTAGAAGCTCCACAAGTTTCCTACTAATCAAAGAGTTCTTCTGTGGCAAATTAGTTTGACAATAAATGATGCAATATACAAACATTGCTTTTAAATTTGAATCGCATCGTCTGTGAAAATTTTATTATAATTTTGTAGATGTAAATGCTTTTTAAAAGTTTTGTTTGTTTTACTAGTATTTTTACTTTGATTAGAGGAAATTATTAGAACATGACAAAATAAAACAAAACAACATGAGTGTTATGATGAATGCCATTATTGATGGTACAGGAGAAGTGGAATTATAAGAACTGTCTGGAAGCACATTATGTGTTATATTACCCATGATGCAACAGTAACACAGGAACAGAAAGGATTTGTTAGGAAGTGTCTGATAACCATATCAATAACATGCACTGAATGAATGAAGACAAAAATGTATTAAAAAAAAAATTACATCATGAATGAATAAAATTATTAATCCATGGGAAAAAATAAAAAAAGACAAAATGTTTTAGTTTGACTGTACAACCCAGCAGTGGCGGAGGGAGCACCAGGTAAAATATGCAGGTATGTGTTGGTGAAAGGAAGCTTATCACTATGACAACCCTATTAGACTCCGGTAACATACTGCATCCCCGGGTTTTCTACACCACCGGGTCTGTAAAGAAAAACACAGGTGGAAAACAATGAAAAATGTGGGAGTTTAAAAAAAAAAAAAGTCTATAATTGCAATATTAGTTAAAGATGTGGAGTGTAAAATGCGAAAATATGTTTAGAAAATATTCACAGCAACCCAAATGTGGGGAAAAATTGCACATACGCAACTTGCATTTTAGCTTGCATAAATTCAAACCATAGATGCTATACAGTCTATGAATTGAACAATTTTGTGAAAAATGGGGGCCAAGAAAGACTAAAAAGCTAGTCTGAAAGACACTTGGTAGAAGGAAAAAAGATCTCAATTTTTTTTTCAAATATCCATTATCAAATAATTATGTTAATCATTCCCATGTTAACTGGATATAGACCAAATTAGCGAATAAGGTACGCAAATCTAAATTCAACTTGTCTAGTTGTATATACTACTAGTTACCCCAACCCTAAAACCATCCCAGCATAGGCTGTTTTTGGATAACACTGATAATTTATCACTGCATCATTCAGCCAATCAGGATCAAGCTCACTCTTGAGTGGTCCCAGAATGATGAGGTCTTTTCTGAGATAATCAAAGATAATGAGGATTTTCCTGAGCTGTCGGGATGACCAAGGTTTGACAGTATTGGACACTCCATTTTACATGACCAGATTTAGACATTGTTTATTTAAGAACAAGACTCTAATTTTTCACAGACTTAGAATTGCGAGGGAAGTAATATTTCTCCTTCCCTGCAATTGTCAGTATAATCTGATTAAGTAAGATAGCGTCACTTGCGAATTAACCAACTATTTCTATGTTATTTTGAATGTTTAACTCGCTCCCCCTGATACAACACTCCTCACTGATACAGTTGTAAGAGCATGATTCAAGAAATATTGATCGGCTTAAATTACACGATTTAGATGAATTACAAAAATAAAACTAAACAAAAAGCGTTGGTCCTCAACAGATTTCCCACCCATAATATTCAAAATACCGATCGCTTATTATGAAACTTGCAACTTCAGCAGATTGCCAGTTGCTATGCCAACAATATTTGTTGTAGGGGAACATTACTTTGAATAAAACTCAGGGGGATTGTTACACATGCTGGGAGGGGAATGTCTGTCTGATGATTGGCAAACTACCCAGGCGCCACCGAACATTCGTTTCAGTAACAGTATCAAGTTAATATCTCGGATACACCAGGTTTTTGAAAATGCTGCCAGTTGAAATAAGTGTTTCGAAACACTTGCATGTTCATTTGTAGTACAGTACAATATAGTGCATCCAATGACGAGAGGGGTTATAACACGAAAGGCATGTTGCAAGCTTCCCAATTTATAAAGAGAATTACCCCCTTTCTTTATTTGTACTCTAGGGAGTACTGTACACTGCAATGTTCTCATGCTGCGGGTTCAACATCGATGAGTGTTGTTAGTAGAGCCATCTTCCTTCCTCATCAGCATGTCATCACCATGGTTACACACTTACTTCATATATTGAAGTTCTGCTTCTTTATCTTTTGAGTATCCATTGTATGGAGGTGGATTGCCGTTCAGTGGCTCTGTGGTATCAATGTTGAATACACCGGTCGTCATTATTATCGTCGGTTTTGCTTCTTCTCTACGAAGCTGATAAGGCTTGAGTTGTGGGGTGATGCAGTAACGAAACCGCTGTAAACAAAGAGTAAAATTAAGTCAGACAATATATTAACATTTTTGTTTTCACTCTATTCTTTTGTCAGCTGTGTGGTTCCAAATCCCATCATCCTCAGTATTAAAATTTCATTCTTAGAAGAAAAGTTTTTTTTTTTTTGTGGCTGTTCCTCTTGCAACAGCTATCAGATAACAGGGACTTGACAAGCTCAACTAAGGCCAGGAAAAAAAAATTCTCAGTTTCATGGAAATTTTAAAATGAGGCGATTTTTTTTTTTGAATACTAAAATGGGGGAAATTTGAAACAAGTGCGAGTACAAGCGGCATTTTGGAATGTTTTGGAAGGAAAAAAACGTCCGAGGCGTATAGTTCAAAATGATACGTGCAAAAACGAGAAACGTATTTTTTTTTCCCCTCAGCCTAAACTCATTTCGTCAGTGTCAAATAAGAAATATTACACCAGGAAACACAAATTTAATTTCACTTACTTCTAAAAGACCTACTTCATTGAAACTGCCAGGAACCATAATCATCCTAGCAGTGGCTGCTATTGGTATGCAGATAATAGAAGACAAGGCCATGACCCAGCCTAAGCCGATGGCCCAATCAGGGTAAACATATTCACCCCAGGATCTTTCATAAGTCAGAGGACTGTAACTAACACAACTGAAGATGAAAATACTCTGTTAAAAAAAGAAACAATATATATTACAACAATGTCAATCTTTTGACAGCGGATTATGTATTACAAACCTTTTCCATTTCACTGAATTTATAATTAAATAACGACAGAAAAAAAAAAAGTGCATAATTGTAAAACCATATTATCGTCATTTCGAAATGTATTATCTTGATATGGTCCTCAACAACATCATGAGGACTGACTGAAAAATGCAGAGGGCTTGTCTGGTCACCATGTCTCTGTACTCGTACCAACGTGTCTGCCATAATTTCGAGCACCGAGTTTTGTGGGCGAGTGTACCTGTACATGTATACAGGATGTCTAACGGATACTTACTGCACAAAAGAGAGGAGTAAACACAATCCAGCATATGCGATTCCATGGATCAGGCCTCCATCCAAGCATATGTTCAAAATGTTGGTACATACGTTTAGATCCTATAATCAAGCAAAAAAAAAAAAAAATCAGAAACATGTTTTAGCTTCTCGACTAGTGAAACAATTTTCAGTTAAAGCGAGGGAGTCGTCACCTGCGCAAACGTCAGATGGCCATACCAAGTCGTTGTTTACAAACGCACGTTTACCAATGAGCCTTTGCGTTTTTAATGTGCACTGTTATTGTCATTGGGACTCAATTCCCATGCCTGTGCAGGTGACTACCCTTTTGTTTTATATAATTTGTGTAGTGTTCATGATAGGAGTACAATTTCATTTGATGTTGAATGAGCATTTGAAAGAACACAGATTTACTCACCATAGACCCAACCAATAGCAGCAGCTTCAAAGAAGGACACCCATAACAGTGCAATACCACTGGCACAATAGTAATCAAATATCTGGAACACGTACATTCCACCCTGAAATCAAATACAAATAGAAACTATGAAGTTGTGTACAAACAAGTTGACCATCACATGATAATCACATGGTGATCACATGGTCATGCATACACCTATCATGCGACAGCTAAACTTACCTCCATGATGAGAATTAAACCAACCAGGAACCAAATAAAGCAACAGCCAGCAATGAACAGAGGTTTCCTGTATTTCCCTGTTCTCAGTTGTTTCGGGAAAAGATCACAGATGGCAGTTACAAAACCTTCAACGCCAACAAACTGCCAGATAAAAAAACAAAACAAAAAAACATCAGACATGCTTTTTATTAAAGGTACGTTTTTTTTTTTTTTTTTAAATCATACCTGGTAGTGAGTAGTGGATATTTTTATTGCTTCTCACACTTGTATTCAATTAAAAAATAAGTGTAACCTGTGAAATTGTCTGCTAAAATATTTGAGCACTTTTTGTTGTTGTTAGATCTGGTTTATTCTTGAAATTTGGGGACAAAACAAAAGCAGATCTTTCGTCTTGATTTGGTTGATTTAGGTAGTCCAAAATTGGTTTTTGGTGTGATTCATAGGTCACATGGAATGATTTACATATATCTATTTTTTGTAAGTATTTGAGCAGTAGTTTTTAAATATCAATAGAAACAGAGAAGGCTACATGCTTAAAGATTGATTTACCCAGGAATTAAGCATTTTTTTTTTTTTAATTTTACAATGCATCTATTCCATGATGTGTTCAATGTTGGAAAGACGACAGACACTAATGTAGATGTCCACATGAACAATACCAACCAATTATACGCTGGCAAAAGAAAAGAGGTTATTACATCAAATCTTTATGGTTACCCTAGATGGCGCAAATACATTCTGTTTGTAATGAGGGGATTTTCAGAAATAAAAACATATCCTCTCTACTGAAGAGGATTATGTCAAGTTATGAATACCTCGCTATCCAATCCCAGTAGAATAACCATAAAGAAGAACAATATAGACCATAACGGTGCAATTGGCATCTCCGCGACCGCTGCCGGATAAGCAATAAAGGCCAGTCCTGGACCTATATGAAGTTAAGCATAATGAAGGCATCATTCTTGTGTCCTGAGTGGTGTCAACTAGACTACACTCTGTCAGTACTTGTGTTTGCATAATTATATATTCATGTAACTAAATTAACTAAACATTGAAACAAAAAATATGTATAAAAACAAAAAAGTGTGTTTACCTGATTTTGCTACTTCACCAACTGGTACATTGTATTTTCCGGCCATAAATCCCAACGTTGAGAAAATGACAAACCCACCGTATATACTTGTACCGCTATTGAAACAAGCGAATATAATACAATCCCTATTGAAGAAAAGAAAAAGAAAATGAGTAATCCTGTTTAAAATCATTTGATAATTTAAACATGTGATGTTTTTGGGACTACTTTATTTCATGTGTCAGAATACATACATTTATAACTGTGTGTTATGTCACCTCATCACTAGAATTTATTGATATGTAGTGAAACTGGTGCAGCTCAAAATGGCAGACAACCGTAAAACAGAAAACAATGAATAAGATCACTATAGTAAATGCGTCGGACATACCTTACAAAATTGTTTTTGAACTTATTATAACTTCCCAAAGCTACTAGTGTACCAAGACCAATAGAATAAGAAAAGAAGATCTGTGTTCCAGCATCAATCCAAACCTATTGCAAAAATCAAATTAAAACGTAAATTAAACAATAGTTTAATGGAATATCAAAAATCAAAAGTTTTCAAACAAGTTTTTACTTTACCTGACTGTCTTTCAAACGCTCAACATCTGGCTTCAAATAAAAAATAATCCCTTCGATAGCGTTTGGTAACGTGACAGCACGAATACACAGAATGGTAATTAGAACATATGGGAATGTAGCGGTGAAGTAGACAACCTAAAAACAAAGTAAAAGAGAAAAGTTGTTGTGAGGGCACTATACATTATACTTATTGTTGGGGTTATGGATCTATGACTTTCCTTATTAACTACATAGAATACATTGGAACCCAAATTAACATTACATATAAGGGACACTGCTAAAGAGTCCTGGGCGAGCAAATCACGCACCCAGTAAACGCAACACAATCACTCAGTAAACATTCTTCTCCTCCAATTTAAAGTTTGCAAATATGATTATAATTGAATATAAATGTAATTCAAAAATCAGTTTCAATTCCACCAAATGAGTGGGAAATTTGTTTTGCTATGCTTTAATTATTCCCCAAACATACCACACCCCAAAATCAGCTGTTTTTCTTTTCAATGCTGAATGATACAAAAGAAACGCTATGGACATGCACAGTTAATCACACGAGAAGGATTACTCCCATACTTTATGGTTGAACAACCAGGTTGTCCACAATAATTTAAACCACTTAGTGACCTTCAAAATTGGGTCCATTGATCTTTTAAAGTCATTAGACACAAAACAAAGCCATATACTGAATGTTTCAAAATAAATAGCCCACTCGAAACGGAAATCTCACCTATATTACGATTGTCCATTTCGTTATTTTTGTCCACGGTTCCTGAGAAAGCTAGTAAAGGTAACACCCACCCTTAGAGCTACCAAGGACAATGACTACTCTGGTATTTGTCACAACACAATTTGAACCAATAATAAAAATACGATGAAAAACAAAATTGACAGAGATGGAAAAATGTAGACTAAACATCACATGTTTAACCTTTTCACAACCATTTCCCTCTTTTCGTCACATTTTCAAAGTCTTGTTTTTTCTGAATTTTTTTTTTTTTTGAGTAAAACCCGACTCAAATTTTGTCTGTTGGCTCCAAACGTCTGGTGGTGGTGGTGGTTAATGAAAAATACATACCCTTCCAGTAGATTTTACGCCTTTGAAGACACACAAATAAACAGTGATCCAAGCGACTAGAAGACATCCTGCCATTGGCCAGTTCATACTACCCATATCCTCAATGCCATCTGATAATTTTAGCGCTTTTCTCCTGCAAGAAATCAACACAAAATTATTGAGTAACGTTCGAAATAGCATCCATGAATGCACTCACAATTGACTAAATCATTTGAATCGGGGAAATACCAAAATTCCTGCTCTAATTAACAACTTACAAATCAACAATTTTACCCAACCTGATTACTGCAGCTGCCCTACATGAATAAACAACCCCTATACCTTTATGAAGCCAAAATCAACTTTTTTTTTTTACAATTCACAAAATCAAACTTGCATTGTAATCAAAACATGTAGGCAATGTAGAATTAAAACTATTTGTCAAAAATAATAGCAATCCTAGAAAAATATTACAGCATTCAAATGATTGAAAAGGCATGATGGTTCAGCGTTTGGTGTACATCAAAATTCAACAAAAACATTGTTAACATTCACATAGAAATTAAACGTGCTTTTATAGTGGAAATACACATAATATTCGTTAAATCGAGGGAGTCCTCATTTGTGCGTGCATCAGAAGGCCATAGTGTCTTATTGTTTACAAATAAGCGTCTACCCATGAGCCTTTGCGTATTTTTGCATGCGTTGTTGTTGTTACTTTGGACTCAATCGCTGGAGATACGCAGGTACTCTGCTTTAATTAGCTAATAAACACCATATTTGTTCTATAAGTAGTGCATGTTTTTTTAAAAAATAAGTCATTTCAATGATTCAATCGTTGCTCCATTAGACAACTTTGGAACCCAAGCGCAGACCAACAGATCAAATTTGTTTTTGGCCTAATAGAGGCAAATACAGTATTACTTGCAATTAAAAAAAAATATACTTAATACGTACTCCCAAAATTCCACAACTGATGCAACACGTGTTGCATTAACATCTAGTGTACTGTTCAAACCCGAACTGTTACTGCTACTGATGTAGTCATCAACGCAGGCCGGAGTGTTCCACCAGTTACCGCACGTCTCCCAGGGTAGTTTCGCCGTGAATGAATGAAACATGTAGAAAAACGCCCAGGCTAAGATCACAATGTAATAGATGTTAAGCCATTGGACAATTACTGTATTCGCATAACCGATACCTGCAATCAACAAAATTAAATACCATGAAAACGTGAACTTTCTTTTGACACAGAATAATCCCAAGTTAGGGCTACAGAACCACAATATTTCGGTTTTGTCATTATTTCGTGCTTTTATTTCTTACCTTGGAAGAGAGGGCAGATCAACCATGCTGTGATGCCACCTTGACTCATGAACTGACCCAAACCAACCTCAAGAATAAGAAGAGGAGCTCCAGCCCCCAACAACATGATAAAGTAAGGAATCAAAAAAGCTCCTGTGTAGAAAAAAAAAAAAAAATTATTTAATATTGTTTTGATAGTTGTTCTTATAAAGGTTTGAATGGAAGGTAAATGTCGCCCTCATACAGAAAGAGAAGAAGAAAAAAATAGTTCATGAAAATAAATCAAAATAGAGAGAATACAAATAGCAACAATGCATACACCATTTTAAAACAATTATTTGTTTATTATTCTTGATATTGACAAGTGTTGACTGTATGATTGATAATGATTGATTGATGGCTACTAGTATTAGGAATTCTAGTCACAACTACATTCATAGACTCTGATTCAAAAAACTGAGCTAGTGCTAACCCAACATCAAAGGTATCTGACCTCATTAAATATTCATTTATTAGTCCTTGAGTAGTTATTGAAGGAACTTTAAATAGAAGGGTGTGTGAGGTTGTTATTTGAACAAAGCAAATACAAAGTCATTTTTTCAAGACAGTGTGCTTATTGCAGGTACCATTGTCATTTGTATTTTAGTAGTTAGTACTCCTGTGACAAGTTGAAAAGAGGGAATGACACCACCTCTGGTCATTAGTCAAATTTGCTTTAAAGGGTGAAAGGTCACCAAAATAAATATGTAATTAGGGCTAATATCAGTACCCTGGTGTGTACCTAGTCCAGAATTGCTGTCACATTTCAGGTAGCAGAGATTGACTGCCTCCCCCACTCAATTAATCAGTAACACCATTGTAAATGGCAAAGCAGTGTTTATAAAAAGTATTAACTTTAAAACATTATACATAGAATTCACAGTTTCCAAGGACTGAAATTCCATCAGCTGTGTGGGAATAAGGAGACAATTTTAGAAATCTGCTCCCAAAGTAACAAAAGTTTGAAAATTAAGGTAGCGAGACTATTATTTGTGTTGAAAATTACGATTTTCACATTTATTTATTAATTGATGAAATGCACCATAAACTTTCATATGATAAAGTCAATATAACATAGAATGTCATGTAAGTTGGTTAAAATATAGATTTTCTGACGGGAAGCAAGGCAGCCTCAGTAGTGTTTTCCAAAATCAACAACACAGGTTTAATCTGTGTGCCTATAAGTTTCAAAGATAAACTCAAGACAAAGCAATGTTAGGATGTGTTATCAGTAGCTATCTGACACACAGTGAGTGTTTCCAAACATTTGAGTGGTTTGTCTCCGCCCCTGTTTGTTTCACAGATTAGTCATTTGCATATGAATGTGTCAGACACAAGGTCACACAGCCACTGAAAAAAAATCATTGATTTTGGTGTTTTCATATGCCGAATTTATCCAATTATAGCTATCCCATTCCTTTATTTTTTTGGTTTCCAATAGCCTTACACATTTGGATGTCCCTACACATGGTAAAACAGACCTTGATGGGAAAACAAATTGATTGTGCCGATAAACAAGCTTGAAAATCTTTGCTGTTACTTCATGGA